AATGGTAATGGAGCACTCATATCTGTTCAGCAACCTAGTCACAAGCAACATAACACTGCACTGCAATCAACTGTGATTGCTTGTTTTGGTACTTTCTTGTCACACATGCCAAAATCATTTAATTTAGGCATCCAATCGATCACTTCCATTCCACTGAAGTAGCAAGCAAACATGTTTCACAAGCAATACTGCATTATAACAGTTTATTAATGGTTATGGTACTAGCCAACTAATAGCCCCCAATATTGAAGACTCAGTTATACAAGTTAATGTTGCAGTAGGTGTATGACTTGTAGTTCCTTACCTTCACTGGAGGGGGCGATGGCACTGTCATCCCACTCCAAGTTGGTAGAGGTGAAAGAGTGTAGAGAGAGACTGTCAGCACTTGGCAACCTCTCTTCAAAGTCCAGAAGATTCTGAGGTTTGTAGTACTCTGGCATGTAGGGTGTTACATCCAGGTAAGGGGCATCCTGCTCCAATAGGATATTAGGTTTTTACATCCAATGTTAGGTTTCAAGAAAGGAAAAACCATTAATTATTTTTTTAACAAATTACTTATTGCAATAGTTCATTGCTGACACTAATTGTCAGGTCTTTTTAAATGTGGTGCTAGGAACAAAATCACATAATCAAAAATTATTTGGAATAATTTTAGTACTTCCAAACATTATTTCTGGTTTCACTAAAGTACCCTTCTCAGTCTCAAGACTTCTGTACAGAAGACATACTGTACAAAAATGCTAAGGACAACATGTCTTGACAGAGATGATTGATCAAAAACACAGACATAAATAAACACAGAGATACCAACATGAGCAGGAGAGCTTCATTTATTTGGAATAACAGGACATTAATGAAATAATTATGGATGAACTTCTTCCCTTCATGCAAATCAAGCAAAATAGAAACTAAAAGCATATTTGTCAAGTGATGAGATGTCACAACTTTAACATGATAGTTAAAAACTTGTTCAGCAAACCCAAAAATATGTATTGGATTGTGATAAGCATGGCCAACAGACATACCAGCTCTAGATCAAATCGGATAAATTCCAATCCTGACACCAAAGTGAGGAAGAGAGTGAGGTGATCATGGCTGCAGACTAAGGCATTTCTGAAATGTACACATAGTTGCCGTGTAAATTATTCAAAAGATAATGAACAATGCAGGTATAATTGTTAATAAATAAAGGTGTAAATTGCCAGACATTCTGTAGCTGTCTTAAAAAGAGACTCACTCATAGTAATACTTGTGCAGCAGTTCCTGGTTCTCCTGGAAGAGACGGAGGTAACTCTCTAAAGAGCTCTCGCTCAGCGCCAAGTATAGCCAGGCCCGGCCTAAACAGAAATCAGACCTAAACAAACATTTCATTCAATTTCCATAAATTATAAATCTTTAAATTATAATACCAACATACTGCATCTGCAATAATGTTACTGACTTTCCAAAAGTATATGGCACATTCAATATGAGTAACCACAAAGACTATCCAGAAAGCCAGAAACCACTATTTTATGACAGAATATGCAACATCAACCCCAAGGAAGCAATATGATTGTAGCTTAATGTGCAGAGTCACCAGTCAAGGCAATATTTCAAAACCTGCAGTAGACATACTCCAGTTATAGCTACATGATACGCGGGCATGCACTCACTGCGTCCAATATTGGTGGCAATGTGCTGGAGAGACTCAATCTGCCGGATGGCTTCTCTGCGTGTGAAATGCAGAACCAGAACCCAATAGCCAGAGGAGATATTCTGTAATCTGAAAAAGTGTGTTGTTTCATTCTAAACTGAATGAAAATGAAGTAACTGTCACACCGTTACTGAAATAGTCTTCTGAAACCTTTTGGAACGATGCCTATTCTTAGTTGTTTGAGCACAACCCTTTTACTCTCTTTAGTCTTTACTGTGTCAAAATTATTTTTTACACATATCTCATATTTCACCAGTTTTGAAAGACCAACAATATTGACATTATAAACGTATCACTACAACCTCTGCTGTCAGTGCAGATAAGCATGCCCCGTACCCATAAAGCAGGGCATGGTCCAGGTGCTCACAAAGGCGCTGTAAGACCCGATCATGGTTCCTAATTGCTGGTGTCTCATCCTCACAGGCAGCAAAGTAACTCTGCAACTGGAAAAAACATACACAAAAATGCAAATGTGAACTGGCATTCTAAAATTTGACTTGAGTTTAAGCAACAGATTTGGTATATAATGAATACCCAGGTGGATGCCAGGCTATGTAAGTGCCAACAATATGCAAAAACAGGGATTCTTTTCACATAACTACATTTTAAGCATTACAAACTATTTAAACATAAATACTTTAAACATACATTCTGGACATAGGTTAGATCATATTCATCATACACATACATCATACACAAAAAAATGGTAGAAAAAAACATATCCATAATACAGTATACGGTACATAATAGTACAAACTTGGAGCAAGTCGCCTGAGTAATAGTAAAATTACCCTGGCAAGAGACAAAATGCGTAAATTCTAACAAAGTTAAAAAGTGATTGAGGAGCACGAATTGAAGACCAAGAGAAAGCTGTCCGCCTTTATCAGTTCATGTGAAGACAGCACAGATAAAGGCAGGAGTTCTTGGTCCAAGTCCTTTGTCTGTTTTCGTTTTCTTCTGACAAGAGACACAAATGCCTGTTAATCAGTTGGTTTATCATCCTGTATTTTAATGTTCGATCGGACAAAATACTTTTTAACTTACCTTCTTCACCGATAGTGAAAGATTTTCCAGGATTCGATCTTTCACTTTGATTTGATCCATCCCTCAGACTCTCTCTCTCTCCCCTGTAATCCTCAGCAAGCGATATTATCAAGGGTGTGTTATAGTTGGTTATTGAAAGTAACCAAACGTACCAAACCTTCACTAACTAGCCATATCTCCCACCACAGTAATGCTGGTAAACCCATACAGAAAACATCATACACCTTCTTGCGATTTCACGTCGTATGTCTATTCTATGATCAGCTAGCTTTCTATCTAAAGTTGCTTGCTCAAAACTGACGATAGCTCATTATTCTTCTTCTACGTTATTTCGGGATGAGACAAGTAGGTAGCTACTCAGTGCTACCCTGCTATTAACTTACATTTCAAGTAACAACACTTTTAAAAGTAGCTATACCTAGCGATAGGACCAAAGCTGAATGACATAGTAGATTAGCTTGCTAGCACATTGCTAACTTATTAAAAAGTTTCAAATTAATATGATAATTCAATCCATGCTAGCCCAGTAAGCGTTCACTAGCTAGACAGCACTAGCAATTGGCCTGCCATTTAACGTAGTCATTAGTAAAAGGTATCCTGACATGTCAGTTAGCTAACCAGCTGACAGAGGTGTACAGTTCAGGAAAGCCAACGGTATGCAACAACCAGCCTTCTTTCACTTCAGAATTTCAATTTGCAGGATAAAACGTCTGGAGGTGCGGGTCTGCATATTTCCTGACACTTGCTGTCAATTGCATGGCCGTTTCTACACGTATAGTGAAAACTACATACCAAATGTGGACACACTGGCTATGCTGAAAATATCCAAACACCTCCGTATTGTCGGTTCGTACTGTTTGTACCAGACAAGTGTAACTGTCCTAGCTACCCTTGTCGCCGAGGTTAATCGCTGTCATTACTCCTTTTCTGCAGGTCAGTCTATTAATAAGTTATAAAGGATCACATAACACAATCTTTTGAAAACGAGGAGTCACCAGTCCCGAGTATCTCGACTACAAGGACAATCTGGATAGTACGCTGTAACGTCCATTCTGGTGTTGCAGTAGTCATGATGGGCAATACAGCTAGTCAACAAACTCCTGAATGTAACGGAAGTGATGTCACCACATCAACCTGAGAGAAGACTACTGGTCAGCGGAACACATGACATCTTGCACAAGTCGTAACAGAATATCAAATATAATAAAAAGTATTATTATTATTATTATTCTTATTATTATTATTATTAATTAAATCATTTACATTTTAAAATCAATATCTTAAAGCGGACTCATATCTGAATGTATAAAATATTTGTACGTGGACTGGTCATTCGTGGTTAATGATTTCGATTTATTTTCAAAATGCATTTAATCTATCACATATTTTACACAGAAATTGAGAACACAGCAAATTAACTGGAATGCTCAATTTAGAAATTCACTGAGCCCTCAAATTCACACCAAGTACTCAGAAATTTATTGTGTCATGAACAGCATAGAGAGACTAGCTAGAAGTAAAAAGTTTATTTTTCCTGCTAACCTTTTAGTCCATTGTTCCCCATAAGCTGTTTCTCACATAGCTAAATAAGGAATTCTGCTTGGGAGAGGGGGTGGGGGTTTAATTATGTTCTTTTAGGACATGTTTCCAGACTGAGAAATAAATGCCTTGTCTAAACTGCAAAGATTGAGCTTGAGTGGGTGGGTTCATACTGAGGTTCATGTTGACCGCAGCATCCCGGAAAAAGTGCAAGGACTTACCAGCTGGTAAAGAGGAAGAATCGGAAAAGACCAAAATTCTGAGCCTTGTAAAATACTCTTATAGTAGTTAGAAAGGAGAGATAGAAACTCCAATAGGTTATCAGCCTACTATGGAAAATATCAGATGTCCTTCTTCTTGGTGGAGAAAAAAATGCTAAAAAAAAATGATGCACAACCTCAGCACCACTTCAGTCTGCACTGTTGCGCAATTACCTTGCACTGCACTTCTGGAGCAGGATACCAAAATAAGCAACTACAATATGTTGAAACAGAGAGGCAGTCTACATCAGGACTGAAATAACTACAGCTAATTAAGACTTTGTACACTATGATTCGTTGATTAGTCGAATTAGATGTTTTGGTACTAGGATTGAACAACGACCTAGAGCAATAGTGGCTCTCAGGTAACACTCTCAGATAACATTGGACACCCCTGAGTTAAAGTGCATGCCAGCCTATAGTTTGCTACACTTCACTTTAATTACCAGTGCTCATCTCAGGCTCAAGTAGCACAATTGGTTAGCGCATGGTACTTATACAACAGTACATCGTGAAGCAATACCTAGGCTGTGAGTTTGAGCCTTACCTGGAGCATAGCCTTTGGCAAGTGTGCAGTCACATTAACACAGGGGTGACTGTCAGAAACATGTGACTCGGACAACAAGAACAATTTGCAATGCATTTCAAATGAGATAAGTCTAAATTTCCACTCCAAGGTTGCATAGGGCTAGTTTAAGAAAAAAACCTTTCTTCTTACCCACAAATTATTTCAGACCCATGACATAACTTGTTTTAAATTACACTGTATATTCCTATGAACTAACAACTTTCATCCTGCTCTGACCATCAAGCTCTAGTGATACAGCATCCATAGCCTTACACACAGTGAAAATGTGACATGAGGAATCTTACCACATAAACCACATACTACTTGTTTCCATCTACTGTATAGTCAAACTCATGGTCAAAAACACCCATAGATTATATTAGGAAAACTATTTATGTAACATTATTAAATAACTTTGAACATACAATTTTGGCTTTGGAACACAATGCCTGGTTGTGTTCATTGTATCTCTTACCAATATACATGCTGTATTCAGTCATTATGTGAATATACTTTATTGTATGCATGCCCCTGTGCTGTCTGGGATTAATTTAAATTAATTTCTGTCATTCTGTTTTCAGAATTTCAATGTGTTGTACAATGAATACATATACACATAATATATATGTGTTTTACACCATCTTTGTTCTCATAAAGCAGGTGGTGGTTGTACAGCATAGCTCAAATGACCATCTATGCAAAAACAAGTCAAATAAAAGTTAAGGAAAATATTCTGGTAGGTTTTCCCACCAGTAAGGTTGTTCATCACTTGTATTTAAATTAACCTCATAAACCACAAAACCAGGCGTGTAAAATATAAAGAACCAATTTCTTTATTTGTATGTTTTAATCATGTATACAAGATCAAAGTGAATAATTCAAATGGCCTGAATGTTGTAGGTACAGAACCAAGTTTTAAAAAAAAAAAAAAAAAAAAAATTCAAAATTAACTAGTTGACTAACTGACAGAATGAGTGAATACTTTGACAGCTGGATAAGGTAGCGAGACAGAGAGGGGACTGGAGACAGTTCAAAGGCTAAAGCTTGATAGAAGGGACACACAATGCAGAAAAACCCTGAATCGAGGTAAAAATCCTGGCTGAACATGAACTGAACCCACATCCTTAGGAAATGTATTCACCAAATTGAAAATAAAACTAACATTGGTGCAAGGGGAGGTGGGTGATATTTGTCTGCCTCCTTGTTTCCAGAATTCCCCCCAAAGTACATGTGCAAAAGACATCAGACTTCTTTTCTTTTACACTTTTGTTGCCATTTCAGAATGCTAGCGTGTCCTGAATTTCCAACACCACTTTTATTGACTTAACCTTTTATTTAAAAAAACAATAAGAACACAGTGGATTTAAATCAAATGCACACTCCACTCTATTTTTCACAGCACAGCATTCCTCAAGTTCTTCAGGATTTACTTTTAAACTAAGAGTAACTGACTGATTTACTTTCTGATGTAATGAAACGATGTATAGATAAATTCACAATCACATAAGTTCACAGGATTTATTGGCAGAGAAATAAAATTAAGGGAAGCAACACCTCTACACAATTGCTTCTCAAACCTCACTACAGCATTTCCACAATATTCTTCTGGTTTTTTTTAATAGTTTACCAACTGCTTCAGAAGAGACCCCTACATTTAACATGTACTGCACTTCTTTCCAAATATTATACCCAGTTCTTAAAAACATCAGCATTTTACATCTTATAAAAATAGTGCACATAAGGGGTCAACTGTCAGAGGCAGCCAGCACAAAGAACATGAGAATTCCATGACAGGACTGAGAAGCAATGACAAACAACCTCTCATCCACAAACTTGCCCCTTTGCTTTAAAATGTGACACTCAGAGGTACTTTCATACTGGCAAAATATTACAAGGCCTACAGGCCACTGTCAGACAATTTATCATCACATTACCTCCTTCTCTCATAAGAGTAGGCTCTACATATCACTTAGGGATGCCAGGCTTGGCTTGGTAAAATAACAAGGGGAATTTACTCCATGAAATCTGGCACCCTACCTGCTTTGATGTTTTTCCAAACAGAAAACAAAATAAAACATAAGTATCACTGTGACAGACAGCAGTGCTTTCCCAAGCCACTGAGGCTGTGTTCATTTAGTGTTAAAGGCACCTTGGTGGTTCAATGAGAAAACAAAACCCTAGGAAAGTGTTTAGTTGGCCATACCAACAATTTACAGATTTATTCCTTAAGGGCCATTTGCTGTGTTGCTTGGTGATCAAACAATTTTCCCAACGGATAAGTCTGAAATAACTTTTTTTTCCTAATTTGTTATACTTCATTTTTATTTGTTATACTAAGATACACATTATTATATATTATTGGAAAGCAAAAGTTTTTCAGAAAATCCAAGGTGCCATTTGAAATAGCTTCCAGTTCAAGTTTCCGGTTTCTCTTGTGAAAAAATACTTTGCAATCTGCAAATCCCTTCTTAAGGCCAGGGTAAAAAGATTTATTACTTGTTATTGGAAACCCAAATTTGCACCAATTAGAGGGTAACTAAATAATTGCATTGTGTAACAGAAAAAAAATCAAGAAACAAAAAAAAAAAAAAAAAAATCAAAAATGTGCCTGATCCCCCAAAAACATGTCACCACAAAACACTTGGCTGTTGATGAACCTACAAATGCTCATGCAAATTTTAGAACACACCTGACACCATCTGGTAAGCTGATGAAAAATAAAAAAAAAAAAATCATCAGCTTTTTGTTGTTTCTTTTACTTCTACCACTCATTACTTTGTGCACTGAAAAGTCTGGGAGCCTGTGTTTTTCCTCTAAATGGGTTGCTGGGAGGCTGAGTAGGGCTTTGGATGGGGAGTCAAAAGCTGGGGTAAGGTCAAAGGTGAGGTTTGTTGCTCTAGCTCTGGTTGGGTTCCCTGCAGAGGGTCTGGGGTAATTGGGGGGGATTAAGAGGATCTAGGAGGGCACAGTGATTTTGCGGGCCAGCAGCATCAGTAATGCCAGTTCCACATGGCCCTGGACCTGCTCCAGAGCCTCAGCCGCCTCTACAGCAGAGAACCCTGCCGCCTGAATCTGCCGGATGTGCGCAGCTGGGAAGCGCTCCATTGGTGGGTGTGGAAGAGGAGAGGAAGAAAAGGTGGGTGAAGGTGGGGGGATCACAGTTGGGTGAGAAGCTAGTGGAAGAGGATGAGGGACATTAAGTGAAATGCCGGAGTCTTCTTCTGGCATTGCAGGGGTGCAACAGAGAGAGCTTGTAGCCGTCGGCGGGGTGTTTTGAGAGGTCACCTCCATTGGAGCGGGCTGGGGGTCAGGGGCATCTGGGCCAGCGGCTTGCCCATCTGCTACTCCGCGCCCTTGCTGGCCCTCAGGGGGCTCCCTGAACTCCAACCCTTCATGGGGCAGAGAGGTTACCTCTGATTCTGACCCAAACCCTCTTCCCATGCCTTGCACCAGCTCTCCATCCATTTTGCTTTCTCTGGATGCCATCAGATATGGTGCATCCCTCTCTTCCTCCCCTGCTTCTGGTTCTCCTGTCTCGGGACTACTCTCAAGGCCAGAAGGACAGGAGCTGGCTGAGACAGTTGGGAGTGACAGAGGTACAACAGAGGCATTCTCAGGTTCAGGAGCAGCCATTTTAGCAGTGGCTGTGGTCAAGGCTGGGGGTTGAGATCGTGTGCCAGGACCATAATCAACTCCATCAGCATCCTCCCTGCAGGAAGGAGAAGGGCTCCTTTCCTGGGACAATATCCGGCTGTTGGACACCAGCAGCTCGTGCAGCTCCAGCAGGGCGGCAGCCAGGGAAGGGATGTTGTCACAGTTTGGCTGTCGTTCCCCTTCAGGCTGGTCTCTCTCTGACTGGGGAACAGCCTGGGCTTCAATGGGGGAGTCCATTACAGCGGGATAGGGGGGACCACATGCGGGCTCAGAGGCCAAGTTCTCCCCATCAAAACTGAGGTCAGGGTCAAGTTTGGCATCAAGGGGGTGTGTGCTAGGAAACTCACCACAGACACTTTCCATCTCCATCCGCCCTCTCCACTCCTTCTCACCCACTACATCTCCCGAAATGATTGCTTGCATGTTTTTGGCATCGGTTGACTGAACATCTTCTGGTTTCTGCTCTGTCGGTGGTATGGAGGGACATGGGTGTGGGAGAGAGGAGAGTGTTACCGATTCTTTTCCTTCCCTTCCGCTGACCACACCCACATCCATGGCTGTGGAAGCATGGATCTCAGCGTCATCCGTATTTAAACTACTTGTTGACGAGCTGTCCTCAGCAGTAGACATGGACATGTCCAGGGAGGCAGGGTTAGGTGGGTGTGTAGGGGAAGGGGAAGGGACTGGTTTGGGAAGAGGAGCCTGGGACAGAACCTTTGTCTCTGATGTCTCCAGGGTGGCTAGGGCTGGTGGTGTAGGTGCAGGGAGACCTTGGAAGGGTGACTGGGTTTGGCAGGACCCTGATGTGTTTGACCCCTGTGGGGGTAGTTGGGGCAAGGAAGCTGGGGCAGACTTGGATCGGTCCAGGGCTAGGTTCTGGGGGCGGCCAGGGGAAGAGGAGGACAACACAGGGGGAGTTTTACCAGGTTCGGTGGACAAGGGGCATGGTGGGACTGGTGGTGAGGTAGTTCGTCCATCTTCAGTATCTATGGAGTAGAATCAACTGATCAAACAACGTCAAAGGCCTCATGCAACTCAGCTGTAACTTTGCAATGTAACAGCATGCTTGGGAATCAAAGCCAAACCATGCAAAAGTAAAAGCACTTTGAGCATATTTTTAACATTTCCATCACATTATATAATGAGAGAAAATAATAACTGAGTGATCTTTCAAGACTTCAATTACTCTACAGTTCCATAATTTTTCAATATTAGGGTAAACCTTTGATCATTTTTCAAATTTGTAAATATACATTTGGAATGCTTTTCAAATAATTAGCAAAATATTATGGGTAATGCAACAAATGTAGGATTACTCATAATTCTGTTATCC